GGCCCCAAAAAGATATTATTTCTCTATTCCATTAGTGTCTACCCATAATAATAGAAAGAATGAAGCGTTTCTTCGTCATTTATCGCTCACAACCATGCTAGGATCTAATGGACCCAATCTTGTATACGAGTCAGTAGCATGTTCAGGCACGGTCCAAAGCCTGATTCCAAACGTGGTCCACCACTCTCACGCACCTATACGAGTTAAGAGTAGAGTGTTTAGTCATGGTGCGGAACCCACCCCGAAACAATAAATCTCTAAACCTTCGGTACCCATATGAGTTAGAGAGGAGGGCATCTAGGAACAGTAAATAGTTTGATTCTCTAATGAATTGAAATACATGACATGATCGCTGGATGAATCTCCTAGCCATAAGTCGTCCACCACGCACCAACCCTAATATCTTGATGTAGTGCACATGTATGTTTACTTGTATAAATTAAAATTGGGAGCGTTTCTTTCATATATGTTGTTCCTTCCACCCAATGATTAGTGGGCCCGAGTTGCTCTTTGCATCTCTCCCATGGACGGTTAAGACTCCAACAACACCGTTGGATTTTATAATGGTAGTGCTAGCGCCCGAACGTCTAGACGGACGCCCGCGTACGAACGTTCGTGGCTGCTCTCCGTTTCCTGCTCCTACTCCGTGCCTTGTGCCCCGCTCGGTTCCGCGCTGCCCGGATGACTCGCCCCACCCACGCCACTCGCCCACACGCGAGGCTATCTACACCCCTTTGTTTCCCCGCCGAAGCTTGAACTACTGCGATGAAATGGAGGGAAGGGAAGGGAAGGGAGGGGAGGGAGAGGAGAGTAAACTAGCACCCTTGCAACATTTGCAACACTCGATCTACTTTTAAAACATCCAGATGAAACATTTGCAACATATGTCTAATGACAGATGACTTGAAACATGTGTCTGAAACACTGGCAAAAACACCTGAACACACTTGAAAAGCCATTGCAAAACATATGCAACATACAGATAAAACACTTATAAACATATGTGTGAAACATAGGCAATAACTAAATAAACACACTTGCAATATACGTCTGAAAAAAATAGATGAAACATTTGGAACAGACTCTTGCAACATAGGTGTATAGACATTGCAACATATGCAACATCCCGATCTACTTTTGCAACATCTATATGAAACACTTGCAACATACCTCTGAAACATCTAAAACACTTAAAACATACGCTTGCAACATCTGTTTTTCACCCTTCTTCCGTACGACGTAGAGCAGAGCGGGGAACGACCGCTTCTGGGCAACCGGCAGCCGAGGATGGTGGCGCGACCTGGCAGCGCCAGCTATGCCTGCGCCTAGCCTGGGCCTAACCAGCGACGACACCTCTCCTGGCCACCTGGCCACACGCAGCGGGCGAATTCCGCAGTGCAAGTGACGACACCTCTCCTAGCTGCAGTGAGCTGATGCTATGCTGCAGGCGAGCGGCGCGGTGGTGCGCGGAGTGGGAAAGGTGGGTGGCGCGGTGGAGGCGAAGCGCAGTAGAGAGATTTTTTTTGAAGGGGCGCGGATGGGAGCTTGGCCTAGTAGCGAGTGCGGGAGCTGCGTCCATCCATCTGGATGCGCTCACGAGAGCATTACCGATTTTATAAACATACTAATAGCCTAGATTATTTCAGAGAGCCACTAAGGGATAGAACAAGACCTTTTCTTCCATCATACATTTCTTCCACCCAATGACATATGGGCTTGTTGCCTAAAAAAACACGTATGGGCTTGAACCGCTCCTATGCATGCCTCTCAGTGGCCAGCTATGAATCTGCAACACTGTTAGACTTTATGATCATCTAATGGTCTAGATTAATTTGAAGGGCACGCAATAGATACACTGAGGCACTGAGCCACCATCTACCCTGCCATGTCGACACGTGGGCCCTCCTTCGTCATGCCGTATTTTTATCATCTTCTCTTGATTTGTACACCATGCAACACTCGCGATAGGCACCATAGTCTGTAGAACATCCACAGTGTATCCTGTGAGTATATATTACTATCTCCAAACAGTGTTGTAATCTAAGGCCCTGTTCGGCTAGCTGAAAAAACGACTAATGCTGATGCTAATGTTGATTTGTTGTGAGAGAAAAATATTGTTATTTCGCTGAAATGGTACGACTGATAAGTTTAAGCGAACAGGGTCTAAAGATACTTGAGTTTGGAACGACGAGCTACTTTGGAGATTTCCTTTGGACGACAAAAGAACCTCAGGTCTGACAGCATCGCATCACATAACGAAAAGTAATAAATTGATATTATCTTATAGGCCAAGTAGTGCCACATAATCTTGAGTTGATTTATTTTAGATAACATGTACTCTCTTCGTCTAGAAAAGAATGAAACTACAGGTTACGTGCCGGTAAAATTAGTTCATGTTTGACCACATTTCTAGCGAATACTATTCGTATTTATAGCTCTAAAATAATTTATTATGAAAATACATTTCATAATTAATCTAATGATATTTATTTGATATCATAAATGTTGATATTTTTTATCTATAATTGATTGAACTTAAGATACTAAACCATGATATTATGCTAGAATTGCATTGTTTTCTAGACTGAAGGAGTACATCAAATTGTCTTTTGAGTTATCTCGTAATAACTTACAATTTCTTTATTTGTCCATAGAACAAAAGGAATTTTGTAAGTCATATGGCAGAAATAATTCATATAATGGTGCAAAATTAGTCTTCTAGTCCTAAGTTTGAACTTACGTGACAGTTGTTTCATGAAACAATGATCTATCATGATGAGGACATCCCAACCGTGCACGCTAGCTCAAGTCCAAAAGATACAAATCAAGGGCCACTTACAAGAAGCCGTGCCAAGAAACTACAAGAGCAGGTAAATTTATTCCTAACAGATTGTAACACTTCTGAGAATGTTATACTACCTAAATATCCTATCTTGATGATGCTTAGGTTTACACATGAAGACGTGGAAGGCACATGGCCAAAGGATCAAGACACGGTGCTATAAAATAGCTCTGTCGAAAAAGTAACATGGGCGAACGACCAGAGCCAGGGAAAAGTAACGCGGATGACAAGTAACACGGACGGACGATCGGACCCAGAAAAAAGTGACGCAGAAGGTCAATCGTCTGCCAGGGGCAGAATTTGGTACAACTTCCCATGCAAAACTGTACCAATCTACAAAGTTTCGTGGTGCATGCTACACATGGCTGGAAAGCTCTTCGAGTCTACTTTCACACCCAACAAACGGTTCATCATTTGGACTTTCCAATAAGGAGTTATGGCCAGATTAGTGGATGCTGCTCTGGAGGCCAACATTAGTGGATGCTGCTCTGGAGGCCAACAGTCAGGCAGGCCATTTCGGGTATCCATCTCATGGTGACCTTTCACATAGCCTATCTTCAGAAACTGCATTTTGTTTTCACACCCAACTAGGAGGGTTGTTCTTAATATAAATATCTCCTGCCTCTATGCTATTAGAAAACTTTTTCATGAATTTGATAAACCCCTCATATTGCAGTTGAGTTGCTGAGTGCCTTACTCAAATCTTTGTTCTTCCTTGTTCTTCTTGGACCTATGAAGAGATCCCTCTGAGTTCCTCTAGTTAGTGTTCTACGGTTTTCAGTACGGCTACATCGTTTTGTGTGGATTAGTTCTGGATTGTGGTTCTGCGATCGTTCGGAGATCGAGTCAAAGTCTTCGCGGTTTCGGTGCCTCTCTCCCCGTCGCTTGGTCGCCTCCAACCTTTGTTAGGTATAATGCTAGTTATCCCGCTGTTCGCAATAAGTTATCTTTGATTCGTGACCTACTGTCGTGAAGATCGAGCCACCCCAAGGAGGTTTCTTATCAACTGGTATCAGAGCTTTCATTGTCACGGTAGGTCTCATCTTCATCCATATATTTACCTTTGATTTATCCATCATTTGTTACTATTTTTGTTCATCTCCTAAAGTCCACTGAAAAAGCCACAAAAAATCCTATAGCCTTTTGGCGGTACTGCTACCTTTGTGTTGTTTTGTTCATCAAGTTGCTAGTCACCATCTTCATATATTTTGTGTTGTGTTTCATTTGTTATCTACACCTCTGTTAATATAAAAAAATTCAGAGAAAGATGATGAAGTCAGAAACAAAAGAAGAAAGAATAGAATAAAAAAAGAGAAGCAAAAAGAAGTTGTAGGGGGTTGTGTTGCGGTTTACTTTGCTGCAAATTTTAGTTTACATATTCAATTTGGTGGTAATCTCAATAGCAGCAACTTCATATCTTTTGAACACATCAAACCACTTGGTTTGCAGTACCGTAGCCTGCCTTGATTAGACACCTATAGCACCACCAAAATCTGAAAGCGTGACGACTCGTAATCCTCGCGGCCTCTCAATTACTTCCGTTGAACTGTTACACTAGCACACTCACTATCCTTGAGAACAAGCAAGAGCATTGGTAAGTAAGAGGTGAGGTTGTGTGATTCCACAAATTTACCTATTCCACTTTTCTTGCATAAGTGCTAAGATGATAGGATCTAATTCGAGTGTTCATGGTGGTTGACATGGAAAAGAAGAACCATCGATATCACGAGCTGAGTTACGTCAATTTAAAAACTTGTTGCTGCACGCCATGGAGAGGATGTTCAATGAACATCTTCCTATAGCAGGTGGTCGGGTGCCACAACAACATAGGCCGATCAACTCTTGTGGTGGTCTCTTTGGGCATAGTAGACAGAAAAAAAACCCTTGTGAGAAGGAGTGCCACCAACCAAAATTGAGTGTGAGAGTTCAAAATGAAAAGATAAGAGATTTCACCATATGTGAGGAGAGCCACAAAATTCTATGGGAGAGATATACACAAAAATTGAGCGAAAAAGAAGATAAATCATGTGAGGAATTATTTACTACTAACATGATAATACCTTCTTCTAGTCTTGTTCCTTGTGTGATGTAGACGCATGAAGGAAAAGATGTGGTGGATTATGACCAACCCCCAATATTCGATGAGGAAGATCAAGTGATGGCCATGGACAACGATACGTATGCATGTGTTGCTTCACAAGATGTTGAAGTGATTGTGCATCAAAACCCATGTGAGAATGAGAGCCACATAACCAAATTGAGAGAGAGTGAAAACAAAAGTGAGTTGTGTGATTCCACCCACTGTGACGTTGAGAGTATCAACAATGCGAGTGTGAGGGATACAACAAATAAAAATAGAGAGTTAGAATGCAAGTCATGTGAGGATATTTTTGAAACTAACACTCTCATTTCTACTTCTAGTGTTGTCTTTCCAAATGTGCAGGTTTGTAATGAGAATAAGAAAGAGATGGCTGCTCATGACGACTCCATACTTGTTGAGAGCAGTGAGAAGGTTGCCATTCATCCGAACCAATTGTGTGCTACCCAAAACATGAACCATGATGATGAAAGTGGTAAGATTTCAGAAGCGTCATCCATGATACTTGCACTACCACAAAGTCTGAAAGGTAATGAAAATAATTCAAATCTAAGTTTGCAAAATAAAATTATGAGTATTTGTGATGATATTACTGTTTCAGTGATAGAACATAATCAAAACCTTTATGCTGATTTGACTGAAGCTCATGTAGATACAAGTGTTGAATTTGATTTTGATGAGAGTCTTTGTGCTTTGAATGATCCTTGCAACACTTCATATTTTGGCAAACTTCACCTTGTTCAGTTGACTACATGTGCTGATTTATTTGCAAAGATATCTCCTACTGGATGTTTGTGTTATACTATACTTAACATGCCTATCAATTTTGATAAAATGCTTGAGAAATTTTTTTAGATAACATCCTTGAGATCTTTGAATACTTCTCATAGCTGCAAGTTTACATTTGTTTTGATTGGAGAAAATGTTGTAGATACCTTCCATGTTCATGCAATTTGTGTAATATGTGACAAGCTTGCTGACTTAGAGTAAAAAATGTTAAGTGAAAACAAAGTGATAAATCTCTTGAGATGCAACAATTCCTTGATGCTTGTGATTTCGAACAATTAATGTTGTCACCACGTTCATACCATCCACTGAAAGACATAAATCATGTGCAAAGCAATGCCCGCACACACAAAAGTTGTTCATCCACTCCTGGAGCATTGAGTTTGAAATGTATACTTCTAAACCCTTGAATAAATTGTGCCACAATAATTTTTGGAATGACATGAATGCTCAACATTCATTTGACCAAAAGCTTGATCTTGCAAGGATGAAATATAATAACATGAACCAAATGATTGGGTTAGAAGAAAATTTTGTGCTCCCATCTTCGAAGCTATTTGCAGGTTCATCAAAGTTGAGAGAATGTTTCTTACTAGGAAAAGGAAATAATATGAATATGAATCATGAAGGAACAAATGAACAAAACAAAATAAAAGATTATTGGAATTATCATGTACATCCATCCTCTGTTTTGTCTAGCATGTTTTTAGGTAAACAAAAGTTAGGGACGACTTTTCTTAAAGGGAGGGAGGATGATGAGACCATACCAAGGCAATCAACATTCACCATTTGTTCTAAGTATCCATTTAAGGTGAAAGCTATACTTAATTTCAAATCATTTAGGTTTCCACCTACTAGGCTACTACTTGGTTTATATGATTATAGATTCAAACACCTTGCTATGATGGAAGAAAAGATCGTGATGTTATTACAACACTACAAGTCTATGGCAGAACTGCCTAATCTAATGCCTCCCAGGAGTGCTTGTCTTCTATTAGACACTAAGTACTCAAGGGAGGATACTAAATTATGTAGTTCTCATCGAGCACACCCCAAGGGAGAACCTGAGAATCCACATTTTTTCATCAGGATCACAAATGAGAGAATGAAGCTTACAACATTCTTAAGTTATTTCTTACATCACTTTCCATGCAACATCAGAGTATAATATTTATTGTTTATAACAGCGGAATATAACCATGTTATCAGAGTTTCAACAGAAATAAAATCATTTAATGGCAAGTTAAACATTACATGATGATCCATTATATACATCATAACAGGTTACAAGTTTTTCCATTGTAAAACATTTTGGGTGAAATTTTCAAATAAACTCTATGTCCGCAACGTTAAGGAAATCCTCACTGAGCCCACCAGGAGGTTCCCGCACACAAATGTCAGCTCTAACATCCACCTGTCACCTGCAATAGGGTAGAACAAACCCTGAGTACTCAATAGTACTCCGCAAGACTTACCCGTCAGGAGGAAAGAAAAGACTCTAAGGCTATGCAAGGCTATCTGGCTTGTGGGTTTATTGTATCTATAGGAGGCATTACTAAGTATGCATCCTTATATTCAATTTTATTAGCAGTTATCATTAGTTTATTAACTAACCATTCTATGTAAGCACCTATGCTACTTTCAAGCAGGTGGTAAGATATCAGAACCATTTTATCATCTTTCTTATTCCAGTTCTTACTACGGTGCTAGATCGTAGACAAGTTGTACTAGATTATCCGGTGATTCACGAACCAATGTAGCCCAGCTGGGTACCCAAAACACATGTCCCACTTGTACCCCAGGCACAAGTAGGGCCAACCCACCACTCTCCTATCAAGTGGTCCAGGTCCCCGTCCAAACTTGAACTCCAAGCCCCCACACCTGAGTCCCGGACTCAGTGTGGTGCTTAGACCTCCACCATCCCCGCCTCCAATCAGTCGGTCTAGAAAGAGCCGGAACCCATGACAATAGAGCAACGAGCCTTCCCGCTTCCATAAGCAAGTATGTGCTCAGGATAATAAATCTGTGACCTGACTAGAATCCAATGCAACGATCGGTCCTTAATCAACACAGGCGGAACAAATGCAACCTGAGCCTCGCTTGAATGCCTAACCAAGTCCAGATCTAAAGTACCATTCCGCCCGATCTCCAATTATGATTCATATATACTCCATGTGATAGTAATATAATAACAATAATAATATCTTTCCTATGTCTCGTGAGTGATAGGTAATCACTCGACTTCTACTGGAGTCATGTAGCATAGCAATCTACTTGATCCTGTCATACTAGTAGGACTCATAGGATAATGATATATATATATATGCAAGTGGTTTTCATTCAACTCCTTAAGACTTAATGCACAAGCATAATATAAAGTGCAGAATAATAGGGGTTATGCACCGGGGCTTGCCTTGGTAAAATATAACCAAGTTAGCGATTCATCATGGTGGCATGATCATCACGTCACCATCTGCTTCCGCTACTCCAGATGTCTTCGCGATCTATTATTGTTCCTATTATGATATACGTGGATGCAATGCAGAAACATAAATGATCAACGACAACCGCAACTTTAAAATACGATTACGTCTCGCTAGCTAACAAGCTAGCTCTAATGACTAACATACTAAGCCATGTATCCATGTGGTCAAGTGAGGCTCGTTTTCAGAAAATATTTTTGTTCTACAAACCCCTAATTATTTTTGACATTTGATTGATTAAATATATATTTTCATACTAGAGCTCATTTAGTTACCTTAACAACCTAATTCCTATGGAGCTACAAAAATTACAGTGAGCACTTAATATTGTTAGGAATCTACTATAAAAACTTCAGGGCCAATACTATTACCAATTTATCACAAAAATCCCTACAAGTTTATGCTTAAATAATATTAGAGCATGTTATAATTTTTAAGGCAACCGTGAAATATTTTAGAACCATGGGAACCAAGTACACTATCAGGTAGATCATGATTTTATGAACTTAACAAAATTGGTTTCACAATTTTTGGACACCTACATGATTTTATTTGATTTACCAAAGATCATCTCAGAAATGTAATTAGAAAACCATTTAACTAATTCGCTTAAAAAGAAAAGGCGACGAGCTCAGCGCGGCCCACCGCGCGGACGCAGTCCATGCGAGCTGGCCCATGAAGGGGGCAGCCCACGCGTAGTGGCACTCTTGCAAAAACGCCCTCGCGTTATTAGGCATTAGCGCGAGCACTACGTGTACTATTCCTATAGACAGTGACTTTGCAAGGAAGCCCACGTATTCTCTCGTCTTCGCATTGGAGAGGTCCCCGACGCCTCCATGCTCATCAGCGCAACATTGGCCAGCACTGAGCCGCTATGCCGGAAAACTAGGACCCACGCAGACCTGGCTAGGGGGTCGACCCTTACCTATGGGCTGACACGCAACTCTAGGTAGCGGTGGGACAAGTCGAGACGCAGTAGGATGGCCTCTCCATGACGACGGGCATCCTACGGCGGCGACAACCACGTTTCGGTGAGCCTTGGCATAAAAGAGGTGATAGAAACATTGGGTCAGCATCAGCGACTCACCACGCACCTACCCGTGGCGGTGGCTTGGCCGGGGACGCCCCGAGCAAGCCTGGTTGCATGCGCGCGGCTAGTGTGACAGCGGGCCACGGTGGCACGGCCGCATCAGCGCCACAAGGGTAGCCATAGGGGTACAGCTTAGGTGTTCACAGTGAGAAGGGGTGCCAGGCGGGTCGGGTGGTGTAGCCAATTTTGCTTGAGGCAGTGAGCTGGTGGCTGCCTATAGTGGTGGCGGGCTAGGTCTTAATGGCATTGTGACGGGGGCAAAACTCCAAAATTGGAGCTCGGCCAGGCGCCATTCAAGGCGAGGTGGGGACGGTCGACTAGAGGACTTGATGGCGGCGCCAGAGACACGATGCCATGACCCAAGATGATTCATCCCAGCCGTATTAACTCGCGCAGCTCAGTCGGCCATGGCGGGGAGAGCAGGGAGAGAACCGGAGCTCGGCGTGATCGGCCTTGGCAAGATGCATCCGTCACGATCCGGCCGACCCACGCATTGCTACTATGGACAACACACGCATGCCACCAACCGACACTATCTACGGGGCTGCTGCGCCATAAATGGCAAAGCGATGGTGCGGACAGCAGAGGAGGGGGGCAAGCCCTCGTGCGTGCTGTGAGGGGACGAGCACATCACGATGCAGTATCAGCAGTAGCAGCATCGCAGCAGAGCGGTAGGGACAGCGAAGCAGTAGCGGCTGGTGGCCTATAGCACAACGCGGCGAGTTACAACGACATAGCACGACAGCGAGATGGGACGTCTGCATGGTAGGGCGACCAAGGCACCGGGCCAGCGGTGGCGGTAGCACCGCATGGCAAGGCTAGACGGCAAGACCACGCGTGGTAGTGCGTGAGCGCGCGTCTGAGCCCAGCGACACCGAGGCTCCACACGATGGTGACTGCACACACTCGACCAGGCAACTGAAGCAAGTGTCATGCATGAATTTTAAAGCATCGACCACGACTAAACCGTTGCTCGTAAGCCTAAATTGTCTTCTCTAAGCTCAAGGTGGTATATGAGGCTGCTAAATCAAGCTATAACACCTCATCAGTCCTTAACCCAATCTCTTAAAATAATTTGCTAAACACGACAATGTCTAGCTTTTAACATACTTAAAATTTTCCTAAGTTTTTGAGCTGAGTCTTATTTCAAATTGCATTTCTAGGATAGTAGAAATATTACTTAGCAATATTATTTTTGAACAGCAAGTATTTCATTGGCATCTACAAAGTTCACACTTCCAACTTTATTAAAGTTCCCTATATAAGTTCTATAGCATTTTTGTTCCATAAAAATTGGTTTACGACCCTACTTGCTAACTATACAAGTCGTGGAGTAACTTTTTGTTTTGCATTTTTATTGATCATTTTGAGTTGTGGAAATTGATCTACACACCTTATCACGTGCATTGACACATAAACATGATGCTCATGACATAGTTTAGCAAATTGTTTAAGCGGTAATACCGAGGGTGTTACAGCTCTACCCCCCTTAAACA